ATTCTTTTTTTTTGCTTTCCTTTATTTTTCAAATCAATTGTTCTGCACAAAACAATTAACAAAGTTCCTTTAAAAAAATTCCTGAGTAAACTTTTCAGACAGAAAAGAGTAAAGCTGAATTATTACATTTCTTTAAATGTAATTCAATTTTAATTCATTCAGAGTTTGTGAATCAGCTTGATAGATCACAAGCTATTTATCATTTACAAATATTTCATGAATGATTATATCATGCAAATGTTAATTCCATCTCACTTGTTCAGTTGTATATTATTTCATTAGCATTTTCTTTTTCTTTTTTTTCAAAACTAATGTCTAGTGTTATTCATACATCATTACTTCAAACTATTTTAGATAATGAACCAAATGACTCATTTGGAATCAATGTTCCAAGGTCCAAAGTCAGATTTTTTCCTTTTCCTATGAGATACTAGAATGGTAATTCTAACAGCTGTGTTAATTTTGCAGGCCAGTATTTAGTCTTGCTTTATTTAATGGGTACACATGAAAGAGACTGGCTCCTATCTGATCCCTCTCTCACGCACATACACTCTAAAGGAGTTGGAAAATTACTGTTGAATACTTTTTCTTGAAAACCAAGTATTGGTATGATGATATACTAATCGTATCTATGGCAGGTCTCCACTACAGGGCGAGCAGTAATTGCTAGAGCTGACTTTTTAAACTATTTGAATATTATTGGGTTATAATATAAATTTTTTTTAATTCTTCACTTTGTATAGGAAAGGATCTGTATGAATAAAATGATCAAATTTTAATTTTCATGCCTACACAGTGGTAATGTAAGGCATGATTATTTTTTTAAAAATAAGAGAAACTAGGGAAAGAATCTCAAAGAAATTTTGCTGTGTTTGTAAAGGTAACAAAATTCAGTCAAATGTCTTTCTAAAGAAGATGCTGTTAGTGCACACTATACTTTGAGTTGGTGGCAGCCTGTATTTAGAGTTCTCCATGATCTTTGATGCAAACATAAGCTGGACTTAGGACCTTGTTACAGTTACGTAATTTCACAAAATGCCTTGGGCATAAAATGTTTATACAAGGAATTGTGCGTTAAAATACTCACGAGCACTTTTTAAATTTAGTTGAAATGTTGATGCCTGGCTCTTTCCTCCTGAATAATTCAGCAAAGAACACTTGATTCCCAGAGCCCTTACCGCTCTGTCTGTGGTAAAGCCCCGCTGCTCTGTGCTGGCTCAAGACAAACCCAGCAAAAGAAGCACCTGCTTGTCCCTCCAGGACCCGCAGCGGAGTGCTCTGCTGAGCAACGGCGACATGAAGGTGCCGTGTTGACTTACTGAAGATCAGCATGAGAACATTTTAACGTTACTTGCCTTATAAGTTAGAAAAGGTAAGGACATCATTTTTTGTAAATAATGATTTTTACAAATGTTTTTTCCTTCATAATTTTCCCAATCACCCATTTCACCAATCCTGAATATGCAATTATTGATCCTGCACATTACTTCAAGTCAGGTTCCCATTTCAGAAAAGAGTTTAATTATATGTGAGAACAAGATGGAATATCTGAGTGAATGTTTAAATGTGGGGTTTCTTTTTCCTGAAAAATAAAAACCATAAAAATACATTCAGCTGTGAACCTCTTTTATTACCAGCCTCTTAAAATTTTGCTCACGTTTTTGGAAAACTTTATTGCAGGTTTAGGTTGGGCACGGTGAGAAAAACGTCTGACACGGTGCAAGGGCATTGGAGTGGGACAAGGCCCAGCTCTATAATTTAACAATAGACGTGAGCATGTTAATCAACGATTCTTCATTTCCTTAAAAAAAAAAAAAAAAGGAGGCCTTGGCCAGGTAGCTCAGCCCGTTAGAGCACAGCACTGCTCCCCCTGTAAAAAAAAAAACTTTTTAAAAAACGGAGTTACTAATGCCACTTTATCATAGGGGCATTGAACAGAATAAATGAGATAATATTCATCAGTCCCCTAAACCTTCTTATCTAGTGCCCAGTAGATAGTCAGTAAGCAATCCTTTCCTGTTCTTATGTGAATAGGGACTGAAATGAGCCAGAACACTTTAATGTTCTTTCTCAAACACTGCCATAGCCCTCGGGCCTCTCCTGTTATCTCAGCGCATTGCGGTTGTCAGCTGATAGCAGCTGCACTGCGCACTCAGCATGTGCCAGGAGGTGCTTAGAAGCATGGCCCTATTTGTGCCCCCATGATTGCCCGCTAGGTGAGGATCCTCTCAGAGTTCGCTCTTGTTTGCTTTGGGTTGAGGAGGGGGTTCTGGGGTTGGAAGGGGATCGTTATTAAGGAGAAAGGGTCTATGAGTTACGTCAGGTAGGTCCTCAGACCCAAGCCACCTCCATTTCAAAGTTCCTTACACTTTCAGGAGCTGGGAAGAGTGGTGTATAAGCCCATGAGTCTCATGGGGCCCGGGCACGCCGTTTAGTAACTGAGAATCTCAATTTTCTGCATCTGTAAAGGAAGGGCAAGCCTTTTGACACAGCTGTTGGGAATCCTAAATAAAGCAATAAAGCTATAACTGCCAGGACCTGGTAAATGTAAGCTCTCAGCCCCCCTATCCTCAGCCAGCTGCGCCTTGCAAGCGGGCGGTGCAGAGCGGCGGCTGGAGCCTGGGTGAGGGAAGGGGTTGCTTGACTTTCTCTTTGGTCTCGGATTTCCGGTCCTGGGGAGCTCCGCAGCTCCCACTCCTGCCACGGACATATCATATCGGCAGAGGACCTGGATGAGGGCTCCTGGGGCTGCCTCTTGAGTTTCAGATATCCTCCTCCGAATAGCATGACCTGGTTCCCCTCCAGGGAGCAGCCGCTGCAGGGAGCAGCCGGGCTTGGGCGGCGCCTCGGGCAGGAAGGATGGACCCTTGATGTCCTTAGGGCGGCTCAGGGGGCCACGCAGCTACTCTCTCCCCCGGGCGGGCGGGCGGAGGGCTCTGTTTGGAGGAGGTCACCCGGGAGACAAGCCGCGGAGTCCAGAGGGAATGGAGGGAGGCTGCAGGCAGACAGAGGCTGGGAGGAGGGAGCTTCACCGCGTGGACGAGCCTGAGGTCTGGGAGGCCCTGGGTAGGTAAGTGCGCACTCTTCGCGGGGCACCCGGGCGGGCGGGGACCAGAGGACTAAATGCGGACCGAGTCCGCAAGGTCCTGCGCTGCAGGGACCCAGGAAGGAGGCCCTGTGGTGAGAAATAGCCTGCCTGGGCCAGGACCTCTCTGACGCCTTGCTCCTCTTCCCCCAAACAAATAAGAAAAAGTGGCCCCAAATTTGGGAACTGGATGTGGGTTCTGGTCTTTGGTCACCTGCCCACCTGCGCATCTGGGCTTTCCGGTGATGCCCAGTGCACAGGGGCCAGTCCTGAGCAGTCTTCCTGCGCCTGGCCTGGCGCCCTCCTCTGTCCCCCCCCCAAGCCCATACCGGGGTGGAGGGAAGAAAAAAAAAAAAACAGTTGGGGACATAGTGGGGTCCTTTTTTTTTTTAATTTTGGGGCAAAAGAAGAAAGAAAAAAAAATAGTGGACGAAAAATTAGTAATTTAAAAATCTCCTATTCGCGTAGGTTGTCGAGATTTTTTTGGTCTTTATTCCTATCCATACTTCGACCGCCCTAGATCAGAAGGAATAATGAAAAAAAATGTAGAGTTGATGATAACATAGGGCGTGGCTGTACACTCGTTTTGTTGAAGGAGATTCTAGCACATATACAAGTAAAAGACAGAGATGAAAATAAAGTAAGTGATGAAGAAGTAAAGGAACGACACAATAATATATAGGGAGCGCTGAGGGGAAGTGTGTG